CATTATAATATATTTTTTATAGTCATAAAATAATTTCCATGGTTTTAGTTCTGAAATCTCTTCTTTTAAAGAAAAGTGACAATGTTTTTGTTATATTTCTTTAAAATATACGAGTTTTTCATTAACATAAGTTGATAATTGATTGTGTGATTTAATGGTTGGTGTAGAAGTATTTTTAAGCATATAATTTGTACATAATCAGTATATTTGTACAAGTTTATTATTGTAAGGATTTTATTTTCTTTCAGATATTCCTTGGGAATTGCATGTAGGAACTGTGTTTAAGAAGACTGAGAGCCGATATCAGCCTGTGCAACCTTTATCGCCAATCTCAAAGTAAGTAATATTAAACATTATATAAGCAACTTGTAGTTATGCAGTAAAGCAATCTGTCTTGATTTTAATTTAACAGGACTCAGTTATAGATCGTTGTTTATTTCAGGGGGGGGAACCTATGTCAAAATGTGCTAGAAGAATAAAGGCAGAAATGAAAATGTTTTTGCTATTTTAAAAAAAATGACCTTGTAGCTATTTCTTTTGAAATGCAGCTTTCCAAAATGCATGCCATCCAAGTTTTAAATTCTAATTAATATGCTACACTATTGCACCTGTTACAGTAAGATGTCATGTTGCCGCCAGAATGTACATATCACGCCTGTAAAATGCTCATCTTTGGGGGGGGGAATTATATTGAACAGTAGTTGGTTGTCTTAGGCAGGTTTAATTGTATTTTGATTTGTTAGAATTTACATAAAATAATACTTCTGCACAAAAAGTGACCAATATTTCTAAGAATGTAAATAAACAAACATAATTAATTATAAAACATAACCTTTCTAAGACGAACATCTTCGCAAAAGACAGAAATAATCTAGAACAAAGTCTGTGTGTTTTTGAGTTAAATGTATTTTGATTTGTCAGAATTTATCTAAAATAGTGTTGTCTTGTATTCCAAGCCTGAAAAAATGCTAGCTTTCAGCGATTTTGCTTATAGGTGTGCTGTCAGCTCTGTGGTGAACTAACTATATCAGAAAGTGAGGATATTTTAAAGAGAGTATTTTACTTTCCTGTTGAAGATAATTGGGGTTGAAGTGATAGCTGCACATTTTAAGTTTCACATTCCACATTCAGGCTAAGATAAGCATAAGGCAGAAGCTCTTAAATAAGAAACATCACAAATGTGGACTTTAAAAAACAAATTTCATAGAGTATTTGAGCCAGAATGGGGGTGCTCAAAGTGCGTCTCGTGACCCTGATACGGCTCTCGCAGGCAATTTGTGCGGCTCATGCATAGGAAATATGGTAAACTAAAACTATTCAGTGTCCAAAAGGAAGTATTAATTAGTTTAGACTCTTTTTACAAACTTATCAGGGAGTTCTTTCTAATTAACCTCCTCACACTCCTGTCTTATGATGTAAATATTACTTGTGGCTTTTAATAAATTTAGATGTGGTTCTCGAACTTAAGTGAAGTGAGCGTGCGCCTGTTACTGCTTAGTTTGGCCACCCGGCCTATATAATTTATACGACTAATCATCGGAATATTAATAAAAGTATGCTATATTTATTTCTGAATAACGCGGTATTTGAAATAGTAGGTGGAAGTGTATGAAAGACTTGTAATCGGCTAATCCCATCTTGTCTTTTTGATTATATCCAGAAACTATTTAAAGAACCTGCAAAGCAACAACAAAATAATTTCGGCATGGGGTAGGCGAAAAAATAACTTGTAAAATATAGCGGTGTAGGTGGTTTTTAAGTGTCTTAAAGGGAATTTTCAAAGTCATTGACTAAAATTAGTGAAATATGTAGGAGTTCTTTCCCCTATCACTTTACGCATTCTCTGCTGGGTCAGGTGTTGTTAATCACTTCATCGTGGCTTTGAGCTACTAAACGTAGCTTCCTTGTTTCTTGTTCCGTACGGCCTTTGTTTACTATCAGTTAATTTACTAAATTGATGCCCGGGAGTTGCAATCCCGGTCCCAAGGGGAACTTCACACATGTCAAAGCAGGAGAGAAGAAGACTTAATACCCTGTTGGATAGCGCTGGGATTTCACTTGTCATGGGGAAGGAAAGCATTCCAGGAGAAAGTTCGATAGATACGGCGTTTTCGTATGTTTGGGGAATTGAGATTTGGGCTCTCCGATGCGAAAGTTAAGTCCTAATTGGCCGATTGGCAGAAGGTCCTTAGTTAAGAGTATGAGATTGTTTAATAATCTAAAATTTCTGGCTTTTTACGACTGCATTGTGAGGTGATTAGCATTTTGGAGGAATGTAGTTGCGATTCATAAAGAAATAAGGTTATTTTTTGAAATGAGGTTATAATTTGTTCCTGTTTCTAATACCAAATTGGGGTATCGAATTCTGGGCAAAGGTGAGTCATTAGCATGTCGAAATATGTAATTTTTTTCATGAAACTCTTAAACTTCATTATTACGCATCACTTTCTGTGCGCTTACCCTACATAAATTCATAGCAAAGTCACTAATTGGTTTAAAGCACACATAGGGCTTAAGTACCACTTAGGATACTAGCTGAAGTACGTTACGTCTGGGTGTGTTCACATTTTGAGAATGGCTTTAAAATATGAAATTATTTGAGAACTTCGAGAGAATTCGAAAATCTAAAAACATCAATTAATGATGAGGGGTGACCTAAGGCAATTGCAATGACTAACCTAACTATCCGTACCTATCTCTTGATCTCTTCTTATGTGCCTGTAATACGGACGGTTTCATCACTATTGATATAGGAACCTTTACCATTCACTCATTTCTTAATGACTGTAAAACTTGGAACTATTTTGCATACCGTCAGATAAAATTTCTGCTCACAGTCATTTCTTAAATGTATTCATTATGTTACACACTAAACCCTTGTAAACGAGATGATCAAATCAATTTGTCCATTGGATTCTAATTCCAAACATTATACACTTTTCTAACAGTTTCTACCCTTCATTTTTTGCTAAGCTGCATCTTCCAAAGGGAAGCAAAGCCTCGGTTTTTCGATGATATCTTCTCTAACTCTCCCTAATATAATTAAGGCCATTATCTGAAAACGAGCCACTTGAGTACTCAGTAACTCTCAGTCACCCCACAATTCTTTGGGGAGATTGGAGCTAGCAGCTTGGACTTTTTCCTTACATATTTTTCTATTTCACCTCAAGAAAAGGTAACAGTGTGTTTTTGCAATTTGATATGATGTCTATCAAGAAAGTGATAAGTGCAGTTGACAATTTGTCTACCCTTTTGTTAACTGTACAGCCCAAGGACCATTTAAACAGTAAAATGGCACTGTGCTCTAAGTGAAGCACTGCCTTTTCCTCCAAACCTACTGCATCATTGACTGAGTACCGTTTAACAATAATGGGTTGCTTTGCCCTTGTAACTATTATGAGAAGAAAGTCTTCTAAGTGCCATTCTGTAAGCAGTCCCCGTAACAGCGATTTATTACTCATTAGGCAACAGGAAGCATTCTTTATCGCTGCAACAGATACAGAAAGTGGAGAGATTCTTTATTCGTAGTCTAATTTATAACATCTTAATTTGCATTTTCTTCTAACAAATTAGTCACAAACAAACGTCGGTAATCCCACATGTGGGACTCAGCGATTCCGGGATTATCGGTTTTTCTGGATTATGATAATCAGTTAAATCTGTAGTATTCCTGCAGAAAATATAAAATTAACCATATAACGAATCATGAATAAAGGCAGGTTATTATCTAAAGGTAGCAAATTTACAAAAAAATTATATTTATTTGTTTACTTTATTAACATTTCTTCAACGCGGCCATGCGTAAGCTACTAGCATATCGAATTGAAAATTGCAACCAGAAAACTATTTGGTGAGTGTTTAAAACAGGATTGTGTATTAATAATATAAAGACGGCGAAATCGGAGAGGAAATACTGACTTATACGCTAATAAAAAGTAAAACCGCCCTGAATGAGATAGTGCTGACTATCACTCCTTTATTGGGGCGTGGTCCCCCCCTCAGAGCACGTGAATTGATAACAATTCGAATTATAGAGAATCAAAGGATCTGCCTTTATCCATTTTTTGCAATCCATTTTTGTTTGATGGGCTCGGAACATGCTGGTTGCGGGTTGTAGATCTTTGGTCTCCAGAATCGAAATTCTTTTTGATATATCGAAAGTTCAAGCTTACGTTTATAAATTGCTCTCAGGTCTGCAATAAATAATACGCCGAATCCAATTAGAGATTAGGAACAACACAATCTGCACATGAACGGAATAATAATTAGATAATTTTACTTAGCTGATACTGTCCGTTATAGCATTAACGCATGCGCAGAAAGTTTGTAGCTTTGAGATTCGGCTTATGGATGTCCGATAAAACTTTTGTACTCTAGCAGTGATAGAGAACTGAAAGAAACTGCTTATAATGACAAAAGCTGTGATAACTTTAATTAGATAAGTTGTTTAAAATTAAAAATTCTCATGTTTTTTTTATAATGAGACATTCTCTTTTTTGGGGGGGGGTTATGTGGTGGTGTAGAAAAACCTAAATGAAGGAGAAAAACCTCACCAAATATTTCAGCTGATGAATGAAAATTTTCTCTTCTCATATTATGACAATTTTTTTTTTTTTTTTTACTTCTATTATCATTAGAATTTCTGTTTGGAAATTGCATTTCCTTCGTTTACTCTTGTTCTGCAAAAATATTTTCCTCTTATTTGCTATTAATATCAAAAGTCTTCTTCCAACCTATAAAAAAATCTGTTTTGTAAACCCATGACTTCCCGTGTATCCGAGCTTAAATTATAGCATTTTTTCTTGATTTTATTTAAACTTATTGATTGAATTAAACGACTTCGCCACAGCGCTAAACCACAATAGTGCATGCATTCTTTAACTTCACCCTGTTTACCATAGCGACTTCTAGTGCTAGATCTTTAACAGTATTATATTTTGTTCTATTATAATTCAGAATGCACAAATTTATATCATTAAGAATTAGCTATCGTTGCCTCAGTTCAGGTAAAATACTATATAATCTAACGATTAGAAAAGAATTAAGCAAGTCAAAACAAAAAAACAATTTTACAGACAGGGTAAGTTCTCATTCAATTATTCAGTCTCACTTCTCACAAGGCAAAATATCTTGGTAAGCTCCAAGTTCCTGTATTAAACTTACGAATAATCTTTAACCTTATTACCTCTAAAAATCAGAAGGATTTGCATGATTTAATGTTCACAATAATAAATGAAGCGTTATCTTTGTTGTTGCGAAGCTAAGTTTCTTTTAGATTGGCATAAATCCACTATTCTCTGTTTCATGTAACAAGCAATGGCCGCATCAATGGAAATTATTAGGCTAGCGCACTAAACCGCTTTGAATTGTTGATAATTGTTAAACTTTGCATACATTAGTAAAAGCCTAAAACCTAACCCTAAGATAAGAACAACATCATTGGGACAGGATTTTTAAAGCAAAAAATTTACAATTTACAACATAGAGTACAGAAACGAGATCACTGAGCCGGGTAACAGAGTGGATAAATTTATTAGTTTGTGTGGCGTTGCACCAAATACGAGGTGCTCATCTCGTGTTGTAGCATCCTACTCAAATTTCAAGTTCTTACAGATGCCACGAAAAAATCTCTCAGAATCCTTTTAAAGCATTTTCTAATTTTTTTGAGGAAAGTCTTTTATTCTCCTGACGTGCATATCACATAAAAACATCATTAAATTGCATTCGATAGTGGTCAAAATGGATATTTTCGTTGAAATATGCTGCCTGAAATTTTTCACGATTACAATACTTCCTTTTTACTTCGTACAAGGAAGTAATAATGATAAAACAAATATTATACAGGTGAGGTTATAAATTTCGTGTAAATATTTAACATTATATTGATATGTATAAGGTTACTGCTACTTAAACTGATTAATGTGGATGCTTTTCACTTATTTATTATAATACAGTGAATATCTTCCAAGATGACCGCATATGATGGTAAACATTATTTTTGAGAACACAGATGCTGGTATTACTACTTCTACAGAAGATTGTCTTAGAATGGGTTCACTGTGTTATTCATTTTCATTGTTTTTGCATTCTTGTTATGATGTAATTTTGAGTTTTTCAAGCTGTAACATACAGATTTTTTTTTTTTAAGTCAAAGGAGACTAAGGCTGGGCATCAAGGCAAAACATTTTTCAGATGCGAGATCTCATACCAGAAAACTGAATCGATATGCAAGATCTTTGCTTTCAGCAAGTAAGTTAAATGTTGCATTTCGCATAAGCCTTTTTATTCTTGCGTTTGTAATATTTTTAATTTATTTCAGTCATACATAGTAATATAATTTTTAGTTAGAAGAGAGATGTTAATCTTTCTTAGTTGATATACTGGAACCACATTTAAACTTAACTAAAAGTAAAGAGCTTTTACAGATGACCCACTACTTTTTCATTTAGAGTTAAAAGTGGATGGATTCATCAAAGTCTTTTATTGGTGTTTGCCGCATTGCTGTGTATTCAGAACTGATGTCCAAATGTATTGAAGATGGATGTGAAGGTCTGTATTGCAATACAGCTTGGTAGTGATTTCAAGTGCTTCTCTAATTTTGAGGATTTTATGCTACATAAGAATAATGTAAATGATGCTGACATGTTTTCCATTGCATGAAAACAGCCCAAGAATTAGAGAAGCACTTCAAATCACAAGTCATGTTGCAACAGAGACCTTCCCTTCAATCTTCCATGCATTAGTATGAAAGTTCTGAATACAACATCCATGTGGAGACCAATAAAAAGACTTTGAACATGAGAAAGCAAGTGGGTCATCTATGACAGCTGCTGTAATTTATGTTTAAACACGATTCCAGCATGTCAGCCTAGAGTATTTTATCTCATTTTTAACTTGGTTTTAACTGTATAATAGCAGTTAATTTTTTTTTAATGTTTATTATTGTAGATTTTTCCGAATCTGAGTTTGTAGCACAAAAGTATGTATGAATGCAATTTAGAGAAATGTTATTATAACATGATATTTAACTGTCTGGGTCTGTTTATGAATTTGATATTAATGAAAAATTTCTTATGTTGACACATAAGGTAAAATGCTTAAGTTTAGAACAATTTTGCATTCATGTAGAATTTTTCTACAACTGTGAAGAATATGAAATATTACCTACTTCCAGTTTCAAGCTATAAGTTAAAAATTTTTTAAATTATTACAGTAATTTAATATAATATCATAATATTAAAATCTAATTGTCTTATTGATATGAGCGCGGAGGCCGCCCCCCTCCCCCCAAAAAAAAACCAAGTAAGTAATGAAATCTTATTCACTATTCATACATAAGAAGGGGCAGTAGAGAGCTAAAGTAAGGAATTGTGTTTGTTGGATGTTCTTTTGTTCAGAATACTAGTGGGTTACTGATTTTGATTGTTGAAAAATTATGGTATATTGAGACAGCTGATCTTGCCACAAAAGTGGTACTGATGATGGATGAAATACATATATGGAATGGTAAATTTTGAAAAAGACGAATGTGCCATCAAATGAAATAACAAATATCTTGTGCGTGTGATTTGTACAATTAGATCAGAAACCCTAGTTCAAGAAATAGGTTTGTTGTATTACTGGTTAGTGCACATTATGATTCAAGGTCGTAAAATTTTTTGCAAAGCACTTGTTTGCTACTAGTTTCAAATTACACTATAAAAGTTACAGCAGTACTTAAGATGTCAGTAATGGAGAGATGAATGGTATGGCATTATATTTTCAGTGAAATGTCCCTCTTTCTGCAGTACAGTAGCATTTACTGTTTACTAAAATATAGCAGTACAGTAGTTTAACTGCTATATTTTAGTGGCAGATTATATTATTCTGTTTTCTGTATTGCTATCTTAAGACCTGTGTTGATGATGAGGAATATCACTGGATTCCAGCTCTGATATACATTTCCATTTCATTGTATGTCTGCCATTACATTGTTGGCTGTTGGAAACTGACCTTTCGGGAGTGTATGGTGCAAGTTATGAGCAGGACAATATGCTAACATATGCCGACACACAGTATCCAATAATTCCTAAATGGACATTATATTGGACCACTTTTTCTGTGAAGTTCATTGAATCTATCAACTTTAGGAATGCATCTTGTCAATAATCACATATTACAGATTATCGGAAGGTTAGATAAACTTTAGAAATGTTTCAGTATCCCATACACGTGACCTCCTTTTTTTTCCCTTTCTTTTTTTGGTTCAAGATCTTGCAAGAATTATGGGATATTTGATGTTTATGAGATTGATTTCTCTATATTCTTCAAAACTGAATGAATCTGTAATTGCAAACATTGTTATACATTTTTACACGTGCCTCCTTTTTTTTCCTTGGGTTCAATCTTGCAAGAATTATGATTTTGATGTTTTATTAGATGTTTCTCTATATTCTTCAAAACTGAATGAATCTGTAATTGCAAACATTGTTATACATTTTACTTTTTATATATTACTTTGATACGGCATTTTACTTTTTATATATTACTTTGATACTTTTGTGAATATGGCAGTTGTGGACTGTATAAAGGCATCACAAATCCTAACTCAAGGAGAATAATCTTTCATAGGCCCCTAGCAGCCAAGTAGTAAAATTCCTGAGCATTGGTAGTTTGACTGCATTCATAATCCAGGTTGATTCCATGGTCAGATTTTGGGGTTTCCCTGTGTGATTCTAAGACGTGAATCTGAGCTACTTTCTCTGAAAAATGTCCTTCACAAAAACAAACCTTCTGCCAAACAGATAGCCCTCGTATGTTTTTTTTTCTGTAATCTGTTTCTTTCTTTTCTTCATTCACTGAGCTAATCATATATTTAATTGTGGTAAGTTATGCCAAATAGTTTTTTTTCCAAATTTAAATATTTTAAACAAATATTCTTTTAAAAATATTAGAATGAAATATTATAACTAAACTTTTTCTTTCTAAATGCAAATTTGTTTTTTTTGGGGGGGGTAAACATTTTGGAATTACTTCTCTGTCTAAGTAATTTATATTTAGAAGTATGTCTTATGGAGATATAAAATATGACTAATTTTTTCATTAGTTTTTGCAGGGTTTTAGTTATGTAAGTGATTCAGATGTAATGAGTTAGTTTTGAAGTATTTAACTGGTTTTGAAGTTTTTAACCACATCAAACATGAATTTAATTTGCAATTGAAAGTATGTATTTTTAGTAGACCATAGATTGCAATATGATTCAAAAGCTTATCATTCAGTTTCCTTGATTAAGAAGATGTAGTGAACAGTTAAACTTAGAACTTAGCAGCATGCACATTTTAGCTTTTTAACATGCTTTAAATTAATGATCGACCCATTTGCATGATTGAAAAATCTAAGCATACATTATGTATGTAATGGTTGAAAATTCAAATATGGTGTATGCCATAAGTGATATATTTATTTTCCTTATTTCCTTAATCTTTGTAAAGAGGAAAATTGTGAATAGATTTTCCTGATTACTGGTATTGTGCACCAATACGTTTTCAAATATGTATTGAGAAAACATTGAATACTTTAAATATAAATTGCAGAAGTACTAAAAATTTCAAGTTTATGTGTCTCCAAGAATATATATATATAGAGAGAGATATTGAATACTGTTATTAAGTTGAATTAAGCTGTATGTTGCTATCATTGAGGAATTCCTTGTTAGCTTATGCAGTTAACAAGGTTATGTAGATTCAATCTAATTTGCTGAACGATTGATTGAGCTTCAGTATGGTCATTCCAAGAAAACTTGCTTTGTAGCTTTTAAAAACTAAATTCTGTGATTATTGACTAAATGAAAATCACTTTTTCTTTTTTTCTTTTTCAGAATACAGAAATAAACATGTCCGAAGTTCAAAGCATTTAAGAAAACATGGGCTTATTTTTGGAAAATGGAGAAGGCTTCAAAATAAAAGTGAGTGCACAAAAATTAAATCAATATTGGATAACTCATTGAGTATCTATTTGTGTGTGTTGAGAAGTAATTAAATTTTAACCAAAAGTAAGTTGTGCTTCATACAGTACTATTGATGTTGTGGATATTGAAATATTAGATTTTTTGTATAAAATATGTTTAAAGTAATAATGATGAATTCTTATTCCAGATAAGTTCTTTTTAAATTTCAAAGCTCTATGCTAGAAAATGACTGAATATGTGTGCTTTTTTTAAAAAAATAATTTATTAATTTACATTTTTCTTAATAAATTATTGCTGTGTTGATAAGAATTACTAAATGAATTCTTGCAGTATGTGGGAATTGTACAGTGTGACTTATCCCCCCTTCCTTTTTCCAGTTCCTCTACATGTCTCTGTGTAAAAATTGATTTACTCTGATTTTTACATTCTTTTATCATTTGAAAGCATGATCCCTGATTTATTCTATGTCAATGAATACAAAATACTTTTAGAAAATTTTTTTTTTGTCATGAAGATGTTTAAAGGAACATAGCAAAATATTGAGCTTTTGTTAGGTTTCTTGTCATTATAACTGTTCTAAAACGTGAAATTCAGTATTAACTCCACAGTTTGTTTTGCTTCCAAAGCATAAAGACTTCTTTTCAAACATTTAAGATAAATTTATCAAACTTAAGCTTTACTTTTCTTTATTTCCAATAACTTAATTATATGCAGTCAGCCTTTTATTTATCTTTTAATTATTTATAGTTTATGAATATAAAAAACTACTTAGTTTTTTATGTTCAAGTTTTGTATGCATCAAAATTTTCTGTACTTTTTCCTGTTTAATTTATAAAACACATTAAAAATAATCTAAATATAAATAAAGTTTTTTAAGTTTTGGAAAGAAAGGATGGTTGTTTAGGAATGTTTGCACTAACCAAAGAAAAGGTTGAGAACCACTGCATTAGAAATTAAATTTCAAAGAAAGATGATGGTACTCCATAAAGAACTTGTTTTTATGAAACTTAGATATTTTATAACAGCTTTACTTAAAGCAAAGATATTGGTTTGTGTGCATATTTTTCTCTGAATTCATCCACTGTATGTGCCATTTTTAAAACCTAAAAGATAACACAGAGTCAACTGTCCTCTTTGGCTACTAAAAGTGGGAATATAATAAAAGTTTTAAAGATGGTTAAAGCAAGTTTTTTTTAAACACTGCATTCATTACAAAAAAAGTTATTTTTTCATTTTTGGGGGGGATGCACAGTAATTTTTATCAAAATTACATCATATAAATTGCATAAATATACATGTATTGCTTTCATATTTTCCCTTTGTGTTTGTAAAATATTGAATACAACATATATAGGCCTTTGTTTAATAGTTGCTCCTTTATTGAATATTAAAAACTTCAATTTGTTTTTTTAGGTTTTCACATGCGTGAACGCATGAGAAGAATATCTGTTGCATCTAGTGCAAGTTCTCATGAGTCTCCAGTTCCATCACCTTTTTCTTTATATGAAGATGGTAATTTATTGTTTGTTCCTTGGGCTGATAAATAATTACTTCGTGATATATGCAGAGCAATGTACAATATTGTGAAAAGTAGAATTGCAACAAATAAGCGAAATTAATCTATATTTGAAACTTTCAGTCTTTCTGTAAAATATTTTTTAGCCCCCTTTTTTTTTAAGCAACATAATTTTTGTGCGAGGTATTGCTTTTAATTTTGAAAGAAATTTATGTGTTCTAAGATTACAGAATTGTAACTTTGTTATATATAGAAAAAATATGTGGAACCATTTGCTTTTTTAAGAGTATCTAACATGTATGTGTCTTCTCCTCTTTGTCATTTTGAGAACTTCTTTGTAAGAGTTCTGATTAAAATTATTAATCTTCATAACTTTGCTTAGTAAAGTAACATCTTAAAGTTTAATATTTAAAAATAAAATCTGCCTATAAAAATTAGGAAATGTATGACAAATATTTTTATGATATTTATAAGAATTGAAGAGTTCTTTCACTTTTCTTAAATTGAAGAGCAAAAAATCAGTGGTTTTGCTTTGCTATAGGAAGAAAAAAGAATTATAAATTATTAACTTGTAGGGTTTATATTTATTTTAAGTTATCTTTCCTGTCTAGCCTTTACTTTCCCCTAGAATTGCCAATGCTAGAGTTTGTAAATTGTAATAGAGCGTGCAGTATATTCAAATTTAGCGGAAGTAAGTTGAGTTTAAATAGAAAGGAAACGAGATTGTAGGTGTGCTACTTGAATCGTGAACGTGAATATTGCTCGGTAGAAATTTTAGAACAACGCGTGTCGGCCTGTTTGCCTAGCTTGGCAGATTTTGCTAGATCTCTCAACTGCTTAATTAGTAAGCTCGCTGAATCTCAGTGGTATTGTAAAACGCGGTTATTATGAATTAAATAGTAAGATAAAATTCTTTCCTGTAATTTTATGTTTAAATTTGAATCGGTTTACATTTATAGATCCTTTTTTTTTTCTTATTTTCATTTAACCCCTTAACGAACATATATTTTTCAGTTTTGGGGGAAACATTATACAATTTTTAAACTATGTAATTATTATAACAAGACAAAAGATTCTACAAACACTTTTCAAAAATATTTATATTCCAAAATGTTTTTGTTAAGAATGAATACTAAAATAATTTTGAATTTTAATAAGCATAAATTGAATATTTACCTATCTAGAAAAATGTGAAGAAATGATTGAAAAGAGAAGAAACGTGCAAAATATATAAGAATTTTAGTTGAAACATGGCATAAAGGCATGTTTGTTAGAATTCAAAACTGGGCAGCACTTAAATGGCTAAGTCTAGTAGAAGGTTTAAAGCATTTAAAATTATAGAGGCATTGCTAATTAACTCTCATTTGTATAGTTAATCTTATGTGCAAAATTTATAATATTTGTTAGCTTTTATTATTCATTCAAAATGCATTATGTATTTTCATTGCAAATGTGCAGGGGTTACTCATTTAATCTTGCATTTATCCATATTTTGAGCATGTGTGCTGGTGTTACAAACATTGAAACTTTTTCAGAGTTGCCAACTCTCCCGATTTAGGTGGGAGACTCCCGATTTTCGACCGCTCACCCGCCAACCCGATTTACAATATATTTCTCCCGACTTTTTCTTATTCTTAATATTTCTCACTATTTTATGGAACTTGGCTTAATACTTCGTTATATATATATATATATATATATATTTAAAAAAAAAAAGTGATTTTGGCGTCTGAAGCAACTGAATTTTCTCTAAGATATATCTAAAAATAAACCTTGCATCAGATGAGAATTTTCTGCTTTTGAGTGACGCATACGTATCCAGAAACGTCGTTCTCCAGTTCTTCAATGGGCATCGAGCTCCACTGCGTGTCATCTGACATATATTAGCTAATGAGCACAAAGCAAGCTCAAGGCCGTTGGCCGCTATTTTGGATGTTCTTTTGTTATTTCGTTCATATTGTCCTGAGTTGTGCGAGTACAAGTGCCTTCGGGAAATAGTTTTAGAAATTATCATCTTTTGTTATGTCTGCGAGAAAGTTGAAATACTCATGCACGTTTCAAAAATCGTACACAGTTGACTTTCCTTCCATTATTTCCTCAAGGAAATGTAATAAATTTGCGATGTGTACCATCTGTCGTTGCGATTTTTCGATTTCGCATGGTGGAACGGCAGATGTTCTCAAACATGTGCGTACACAAAAACACAAGGACAACATGAGTTGTTTTGAAAAAACGAAAAATTAAAATTTTCTTCGGAAACAAAAGACTAAAAAAGTGAATAATGCAGAATGTCTGTTCTCTGCCTTTTTACTGGAGCGCAACCTGCCACTGATGCATCGATCATGCTGCAGCTTTATTTAGAAATGTTTTCACGATAGTGGAAATTGCTAAGAAATACTCAAGTGCTAGGACCAAAACAGTGCAATTGTTAAAAACGAGTTTGAAAAATAAATCTTCAGTTATTGATTGCATTAAAACAGCTCCGTTCTGCCTCTCTACGGATGGAAACAATAATACCAATTCAAAATTGTATCCAATTGTTGTTTCTTTTTTTTAATCCAGAGTCTTCAGAATTTGAGTGCAGTTTACTTTCTGTCCCCACTTTAGAAAGACATTCGACAGGCTTTAATATAACACAGCTAATTATTAAAACTGTAAAAGAAAATGCAGTTCCTCTAGATAATTGCTTAGCACTTGGTGCCGATAATGCACCAGTAATGGTAGGCTTTGAAGACTGGTGTTGCAGGCATCTTAAGAAAGGCAAATTCAGATTTGCAGATTATGAGGTGCTCCTGTCACCTCTTAAATTTAGCAGCTGAAAAGGGGGCAGCTTCTTTACCAATAAATGTGGATGAACACATTGTTGATATTTATTATTATCTTGAAAGGAGTTCTAAAAGAAAGAAAAAATTAAAATAGTTCCAATAGCTGCATAATACTGAAATGAGAAAAATTTTGAAACGTTTGTACACACTGGCTGTCTTTAAAGAAATGCTTATCTAGAATCCTCGATCAATGAACCCACTTCTTTGCATTTTTTAAAGAAGAAGTAAATACTTTCAGAGTTAAGATAAATTGCTCTATTGAAAGTTATAAGTACCTAAGTAAATGGAGATGTAGTTACTACTTCCATTGTTAAAAATAGGGTTTGGGAAAAATGAAGTAATTTCTGCATCATTCAGCAATTCAACTGGCAGTTCTCAAATAAAAAAAATTCTCAACACACAAAACATTTTCCGATTACTGTAAATATCATGTGAAGAGCGAATATTTATGTTTTTTTCTTCGGACCTTAACAAAAGCTTTTTGCTTTTTTTTTTTACAATAATTTTGCCATCATTCGATGTTCTTAACACAATTCTACAAAGCAAAATTCCTTTAATTCATGTTTTGCAATCAATGATTTGTGATCTGTTTAAGACATTTTATCAAAGTTTGTAAAACCAGTTGGTGTTTTGTCTTGTAATTTTATATATGATGTGATTTATGGTGAAATAGAAAATCAGAACAAAGATGAAGATTTGGTAATAGGAGCTGCAACTACAAAAGTAGTGGAGAACTTTCAGAGAAGACAAAAATAAGTTTTATCTTCATGTTAGAAGTTACTTCTGTCGAGTATGTGATTACATACTACATAAATTTCCAGTCAACGATGAAGTGATTTTGCATGCTAAAGTTTGTGATGTTTCTGCTCTAGCAAATGCATCTTTTTCTGATATAAGGTACTTTTTGAACAAATTTCCTGTGTTACTTTGTTTAGTCATGAAAGATGATGATATTGATGTTGCTACTGATATACTGCAGTCGCAATTTTGCAGTTTACAATTAGAAAACTTGGATGAAGTTATAAAATCAGCTAGGATTGACACCCAGTGGAGTTTAATTGGAAAACTGAAAGGTGCAGATGGAATTTTAAAATATAGTGAACTGTCTAGAATTATGTTGGACATCTTGACAGTTCCCCATAGTAATGCAGAATGTGAGAGGATTTTCAGTGCTTGTTGCATAAATGAAGACTAAATTTAGATCTAATATTAGTGATCACACATCCTGAAAAACTTTTATTAGTTAAAGCAGGCCTACGTGGCAATTGCTATGAACATAATTATGAAGTTTCTTTCTTAACAAAAGCAAAATCTGCCACTGTTCCTAACAATTTGTATGAAAACTGATTAAAGTGTGGTTTCCCCCCTACTTAAAACGATACAAGTACTAAAAATGTTTTTTATGTGTAAGGTATATTGTGTTGCTTTGCATTTAAGAATTAGTAACTATTTAAAGTTAATTCATTATTTAAAACTATATTTTTATCATTTAAAAAGTCTTTTTAACATTGTGAAAAGTCTCCTGATTTCTTAAAAAAATCTCCTGATTTTTGAATGTCATAGGTTGGCAAGTATGCTTTTTAAAATACTATTTCATGCATCTTGTGTATGATTTTATTAATGAGCCCAAAATTTCTGGTGGATGAAGATGTATCCCACTTAGAATATTGGTTTTTGTTCAAGAGCATTGCTTTTAGATGCAATCATGACATTTTTTGTTAGGTTTTGAATATGAATTTAATTTTTTAAGTTTTAAAATGCGTTGTTTGCTTGATATATTTGACCTATTCTGTAGTTCATCTTTTTTAGGATATTTAAAGTTGATTATATAATTTAATGAAATGTTAAAAACAATTTATGAAAAGTGTCTTTTAATGAATTCTTGAACAAGATTTTCCCTCCCTTTTTTTAGGATTTGACCAATCAAAGAAACGCAGAGATGATAACCAGTTTGACATAGATGATGTTATCATTCCCTGTAATAGCAAAAGTGGACGCTTAGTAGATATACAGTATAAAGAGATTCTTATTCCCAGGTAAAGAACTGTATAATTATTATATTATAACCTATTACTTACATATATATATAAAATATGTAAGCTTGGGTAGAGGGAGTGTTTTTCTATTAAACTAAGTATTAATGCAATGAAATTATGAGTAGAACATTTTTATAATTTTTTATTATACAACCTTTGCAAACAATATCCACTTCTGTGAACACAGTTTTCCTGCTATATACTGTATTTGCCGCCATGTAAGATGCACTTTCTTTGAAAATATGTCTGAAAAACGGAATGTGTTTTATACGTCGATACTCAGTTTTTGATTACATTTCATTTCTGAAAATTTCCTCTTTTCAGAGTTCGATTTTTTTTTTACCTCGTTTCCTTACAGAATATGGGAATATTAATTACAGTTACATAGAATTCAGTAAAATGTGCATGCACTGTCATCGACGATCACAGCTGGGTTTGTTTAAACTTTCAAATTTTTGTGAACGACTTTTAAAAGTGTGTGAAATTTCTATTGTTCAGTTTTCTTAAATTTGATGGAAAGTTATGGTTCAAAAATAAGTTTGGCATTGGTGTAATATAGCATACAAGCTACATGTGATTGCTAATGCTAAAGAACGTGGAAACGGCTGCAGAGAGGCATTTTGGGCCATCCCCAACTGAGAAAATGATAAGAACATGGTGGAATCAGAAATAGGGTCTAAAAAAAGCGACTCACAGTAAGCATACCTACGAAAGGGAACCATACAATAGCCTGAACTTAAGGCTATTCTTATAGAGGTATATTATTATTGAGGTTATTGAGCTGAATACTTGAATTTTTAGACCACAGAAAAGCAAACTTTCAACTCTCTGCAAACTTATTCATCAAATGAAAGTGATTAAAAGGTGTTATTTCTCAGATAGATTGGGTATTACTTTGTATATGTATTACTTTATATTTAAAATACTATAAATTCATTATAATGATCATCAGTAAAAAAGTTTTATCCTTCAAAAATGTGTATAAAAAATCAGGTGTGTTTTTATAGCCTGGTGCATCTTATACACCAGCAAATACGATAGAGCGTATTGCTAGTAGAGCATAATAAAAGAACTTTTAAAACATCATCAGCATCCTTTTAAGATAGTACTGAATTTAAAATTGAAATGGATTTGTTTTATGTAAGTGCTAAATTTTGTTTCTTTAGGATAAGAGTATCTGATCCTTTTAAACTTGGGCTGTAGTACATGACAAAAATAGGTAGAGATTGCAGACATAACTTATTTATTAATGATTATAACATAGCTCAATATTGCATGTGAAAAAGTATGTACTTTCAAATTTAATGTGAATATTGAGCCTATTTTTTAATTATATCCCATTGCCATCTAATTTGATAAACAATGTAATGATTACACAGAGGGCTGAGTAAATCTGTGTGATATGATTTTGTTTTACTTTTCATATGCTTCATATGGAAACATGTTGTTTCAAAATAGCAGATACTACCAAAAAGAAACAACATGAATAGGGAATATTTGCCTAGCACAGATAATATTTCATTATGTAGGTGTGGCTTGTCTTTAATTTTGCTATCGGCAGTGAATCATTAGATAAACGAAGTGATTTTATCTGTTTGAAGTGAAGTGAATATGCAGACTAGATGAGTGGTAATGTTCTTTCTAAATCCATTTTTTGAATGATATCTCTAAATATCGGTGCTTTGTTAAAATGAAACAATCATTTATTGCATATGACAGTCATTTATGCATTTATTGCGCATTGAAAGTTACTATCTTGAACACTAATTCAAGGTTTAATATTTCCCTAGTTCCAGGTTTAATATTTTACATTCATCCACTCTCTTCTAATAGTGTAACGTGAATGAATGAATGAGTTGCACTGTTGGCAATCAGAAAAGTGAAACTCTTAGATCTTGCAACTGGGAGACAAAAGTTTTCACCATATGTAATATTAGCTAGTCAATTTCCCTTAGAAACCAAGCACAAAATCTCCATCTCTTTAGCCATAAAGCATTCAGTAATAGTGTCTTTTTATCTCCTTTATCAAATTTGATCCTGTTCAGAGCTGACACAAGGAGATGGTATATCAATGTTAAAGAGTTGAGATTAGGTCTTGCTAAGGTGGTGTTGTCAATACTTCATGCATCTTGTATTTAAAAGCAGTTTGACATAAATTTTTATTTTTTAGCTAATGCAGTTTTTGAAGTATTTTTTTTAAAACAACATACAGAAACGGTTTCTTTTTCAATATAGTTGCTTGCCATAGCCATTTCTGAAATTCTCTTGAGGAATCCTTTCTCTTTGTAAAATTAAATCTTTTTCCCTTTGGTGAAAATGCAAAGTATATTTGGCAGTGCAAAACTAATAAGATTATCACTAGCTGAAGAAACGTAGATCATATGCATGTGTAAAACTATCTGCTTATATATAAGGTTTGTTCCAGAAGTAATATGTCAGATTTTTTTCTCCCCCGGTGTTGATTGTTCAGATTGGTACAGTCACTTAAAAATCTTCATAGTATTACCCTTCTGTGCTAAAATGTTTTTGCCAGTGAGATTTTTCTGAATTGAAAAACCTCATTGAAGTCATTTAGATAATGTGAGTGGTGACCAAATGAAGTTCTTTATGGGATTTTTTTTTTTTATATATATACCTTTGGAACCACCGTCCAAAATTCTGGTGGGGCCAAGTTGGGAGTGTGGGACAGTTATAACCCTGATCGGGGTGAGGATACCACATACTAGAAAAGAGTTGTGGCTGAGAGCATTGTCATGGTGATTGATCCATGAATCTGATCTCACTCCTGGCACATTTGATGATTTCTGTCTTTTAATGACTTCCATGTGAAGTGTGGTGTTCAGGATCTACCCAGGTGGTAGGACTCTGAATGGACCACCTTTAGCTTAAAGAAAGATGGCTTTGATTAATAGTTGGCTCTTGCTTGTCTTTTTTGGGCAAGGGGAGTACACCATGTGCCATTCAGCACTCTGCTTTTTCTTTGCAGGGAATATTCAAATATCCATATCACTGATTATTATATTATGCAAAAAAACTAGGATCTTGTTCACAAACAGCCACACGATTGTTTTTCTGATCATCAGTAAGAACTCTTGGAACAATTTTTATGTACACTTTCTACATCTGCCAATCTTTGTTCCCAGTCTGAAGTTATTCTTCAGTGAGAATTCAGTAACTTGTGCACTTGGGCCATGTGTTTTGTCACCACATGGTGTTGCTTGCCGTCCGAGAGTGAACTTCATCAGTGATGTTCTTTGGGCCTTCTGAACAGTTTATGTATTCTGTTTTGATTGATTTGGTTAGAGTCATGATCAAAGACGTCTTGAATCATCTGATAAATGTTGCCTGGGATCTTGCCTGGTTTGTTGGAAAATTTGATGGCCTGTAACCGCCACTTCAGAGATTTCTCCATGATAACTTCGGTGGCACTTCCAAACAAGTTTATGCCCTAATGCTTCAGACGCAGTTCCGCAAGAGATACTGTGGCTTTGGTGTTCCCAAAGCTCCCATCACTTAGGCCATCTGGTGGGAATGCTTTATGACAGATATCGTGTCAGAAAGTAATACGATGCATTACTTCTGGGGCAAACCTTTGTATGCAGATCAGTAAACATATTTTTCTCATTAATGGTGAAATATGCCAATTCCCATTTCTTACTCAAGCAGCTATAATCAGTAAATGAAAACAATGAAATTACTGTTTTAATTTTATAATCATTATGCTGTAATAATAAACTAAAGAATTGTTTTCAAATACATATATTCATATAAAATAAAGATTGTGTATACATGTAGTATCTAAAAATTGAAAGTATGTAAAATAACACAATATAATAATGCATGAATTAAATAGGAAATTTGATCGTGTAATTCTTCTAGTTCATTGCAATCAAGGCTAGAATTAAAATTACCTTCTTGTAAGCAGTTGCTTAAATCTAAGATTGTTTTCATATTTTGATTTCAGATGTATCATAATTGAAGACAAATATTCATGATTATAAATAGGTGAACAATTGTGAATATATCTTAAGCGCATTTCTATAAAAATTGCAAAACATGTTATAACTGATTAATGTGCTTTCAAAACAAGATCATTTTGCAAGTTTGTTATTTCTAACGGGAGGTTTTTAGTATCGTTAAGTTGGAAAAATTCAGAAATTTTAGTGGGTTCTGTATTTTTAATAGAGATGAATGAATATATGACAAAAACGAAAATTAGGTCACAAAATTCACAAATCTTCTAATAGTGGTCCCCCCCCCCCCCGGGTACATGTTTCAATTTTCTGACTTCCTGCAACACACTTTGTAGTATGTGAATTTTTTATCAGATGGAATTTCAACAATACTGTGTTTTGAATGTATTGTATTAGATAGGTAATAATTTAACCATTAATGTAATAAATCCATATGTACTTTTGTGGGTTTAAAAAAATTGAATTTTTTTCAAATTTACACATATGGAATTTATTACTTAAATATTCTGAAGAGAAAGAATGAGAATTGGTGATTTAAATATGGTAGCAGTTAATTAATCTGTTGTTAAGAAGACTTTTATTTAATGTGGAACTGCTTAATTTATCATCATGAAAATCTCAGTCCAGTTTTAAATTATTTCATTTGAAGAATTTTTTAGGAAAGAGCGTGTTTATATGATTGAATATATCCTGAAGTAAAAGAATGCTTCTTAAATTTGATCAATAAATGTATGTATCAATAATATTTGTTTTAAAATGTATTTGTTATCCATACAGTTGGAGGTACAGAGAAGTAACTGATGTCGCTGAAGCAGAAACTGTTGAAACAGAAGAAACTGAGGTATGTTGAATTTGGTATTTAATTTTTAATATTAATAATAAGTCAGTCACATATAGCTGTTTATTTGATTGATACTTATTTCATTATTTTAACAGGATATTTTGGAGGATACCTATATCAAACGACATGAAAAATTAGAAGTTGAAGAAAAGAAAATGCTCAGAAGTAGTGCTTTAGGTTTGACTGGCAAGAGCAGAAGAGGAAGGCGTCATCGTTGCGATTCCCGTGCTGACAGCAGCGGTGCTAATACTCCTGATCCTGTCTTGCTTTATAATCAAGACATAATGTTTCAAGTTCCAAATTCCATTGTAACAGCGGGTCCATCTTCTCCAGCTGCATCTCCCCCTACTACGCCTAGTTCTGCAACAGTCATGTCTGATGATTCTCAGCCTTCATATGGTAATGGATCACTTGCACGTTTTGAAAAACGAAAATTTGTAATTCATAAAAAGACTTCTGAAGAAAATGCTAATGTACATACTGCAACTAATGACTGTGATGGTGTACAACCTTATGAACCTCATAAATTCCCACTGTCTGACAAAGAATATGAACAGCTACTTGCTGAGTCAACCCATCTCTGTACAGAAGACACAGATATGACTTTGAGTGTCCCAAGTTTTCCAGCTTCTCCTGAAAGTTCTACTAGTAGTACTTCAACAGTTGAAGAAGATGAGGACATTACTGATCCCGAATGGACTGTTGTAAAAAGAGATAATGGTCCTGATCAAGCATTAGTTTTAAAGTTTGCCAAAAGATGAATATTATTATGTGCAGTAGTTTGATTTCTATCTGCATGACTTAAGTTTTTGATGTACTAGCACACTACCTTGTTGGTTTCTGGTTGTTTTTTACTAGCACATCAAGGTGTAAATGTGGGCTTCGTTTGTAACTGGTACTTGTAATCTTTGGAAATACTGTACAAATCATCATAAAAAACGTCCTGGTCAAGCCATATATGTAAATAGTTTGTAAAGTTTCTTTTCATGAAAATGCTGTTTCTGTAGATACTAATTGTAATTATGTGTTCCTGACGAGTCATTGATCATAAAAATAGCACCAATTAAATTAATATAGCCAAAGTATGATGAAGCATTGAATATCATCTGAAGGAAGAGGGTTAAAAAAATCTTGTACTTATGTAAATAATTGATCATGTTTTCCTACTGTTAAAAGTGCATTTTGCTTTTATGTTAGTTGTATAGTTTGTTCAAAAGTGTAAGAAAAAGAAAAAAAATAAAGACACATTAATTAGCTTTATTTATTTTTTCTCTGTAGGGAAAATTTTTTTCCCCCGTAATGCTTTTTGGACCAGCATTGTACATAGGAATGAGAAAATTGAAATACATATCTTTTAAAAAATTTTGGTCCTTCATAGCTTACATTATTTAAGATTATGTAAGTGTCTGTTTTATTGTAAAACTATAACTAAATGTACTAAGGTTAATTATAAATTCTGACATAATAATTTGAATTCTAAAAAATTGCAATAATTGGTGTTTTGCAAATTTGATTTTCAAGATATGTATATGGTATTATTTACAAAGAGTGTGTGAATTTAGCAAATTCTTTTAAAATTTCAGATTTTTGAAGCAAAACTCTATTGCTACACTATTCTCTATTTGCTAAATTTTTGCTTTGTTTACAATGCATCAACAACAAAAAAGGTAATATTTAATTTCTTATTTTGAAAGTTACCAATAATAAAATGTTTTACTCAGAACATTAATAAAATTGGTTTACTTGATTTTGATATGAATTAGTGCTGTATGGTTCATAAGATTTCCATATAAAAATAAATATCACTTTTTTAGCTGGGTCAAAATTATCAGTTTTTTAGAATGGTAAAAATATCCATAATATATTTATTAGCGTTGGTTAAACATACTGAATTAGCTTGCAACATAACTGTTTGATGGATTACAAACTTAATAAAAGCATAGCTCCAAAATTCTGACCATTCCAATTAATGCACTCTATGCAGACTACATTCTTTGTTTACATGTGTATGACAGAGCCATGTCCTGAAGAATGTGTAAATGTGTTGATCGTGTATTTTTCAACTGATAAAACAATTTATTTGTAAGATTTCTCTTTTAGATATCAAATTTCCTGTATTATGCACAATTAATTTCTTTATCTTCGTAATGTTTTGACCTACTTGAATGTTTTATTTGGATCACCTTCAGCATCACATTGCAAATGCAGCAGCAAGTTCAGACATTATTTTATGTGTAGCCTTGAAGTTTATGTAATTGGAATGTGCATGGGATTCTTCAAAAAATATTTGACTGTTAACGCTAGTGATAAATTCTGCCTAATGGAAAGAAGATAAAAATATGAAGACATTAAAAATGTTCTTGAGGTAATAGTAATGAAATAAATTATTGGATTTTTCTGGAGTATGATAAGAACACTAAACATGTTTCCATTTACTATATTTTTTAAAGCCAGAGCATTAGCCTTTGATGCTTTTTAAAATTTGTTCGAAAACACCTGTAGCTTTATAACACTGTCCCCCCTCCCCCCCCCAAATTCCTTCTTTAGAGGAAACAGTCTTACAGAAAATATCTAGTAAATATTACAGTTGTGGTAAATTCACTGTTTTTCTGTTACTGTTCCATAGTTCTTGCAGTTGTGTTTGTGAATGTGTCATTAGGATGTAAATAAAATCATTCCAAGATATTTATCAAGGACCAGGACACTAGAATGACTGTGAAGGTTATTCTGTATAATTCTGATATATTTCTATATATATAATTCTAATATAATGTAATTCTGACTGTGAAGTATATGTCTAACTGTATATGTTATTCAGGATGTCTTCAGCAAAATTGTCTGCTTTGATTCAGGTTAAAAGACCATCTTCAGATATTCTGAGGAACTTATCCCCAATCTAAATTAATGTAATCATCTCGAGTAATATTTTTGAATGGGCTTCTGAATTTTTGTTCTTATCATTTTTATCCCTCTGTAGGCTCCTATTTCTCCATTTTTTTAATGGTAAATGTTATGTAAAATCTTAACATGTGTTTAAAATGATTAAATTAACTCAAGTAAGATTATCCTTGATTTCCAGGAGCTATCCATCAGAATTATTATTGCTTAATTGCCTAGATGTTTTTGCAGTAAGAATTTTTTTTTTAAGAAGAAAGGGAAAAAAAATTATACCCCCTCCGCTCTCTATCACTTGTGTAGGTGGTAATTTTTTCCAAATTGGTGCTTCTATCATCATGATATTGAAATAAAAATCCTTGATGCCTTCAATATATTTTAGATTTCTCTCCTTACATTTTGATATTTGCCAGCCGTGTTCGTATCTTAATCAAATTTATTTTAGCCAAACTAATAGCTCCAACATTGTAATCCTGCTTTTTAAATTAATTTTGCAATATGTCGGGGTTCTTACAGTCCTTAAAAGTCCTTATTTCAGCCAAAATGGTAGGTCCTAAATTTTAATCATCTGAAATTTCTGTCTTTTTTTGCAACTGTTATTTTGAGTGTGAATTACCATTTTAGAGGAATATTTTTGGCGAATCACTGACAAATATGTTTATCTTTTAAATGGGTTCATAGGTTATAATTTTTTCCTATTTCTGATATAAATGGTGTGATATTCGAGTTTCTGGGCAAGAAGTAAAACATAAGCATTTTGAAATTATTTCATTTTTTGTAATAAAGAGTGCTTAAACAACTTTTCGCTTATTTTGGCCACCTATTATGCAGTATTTTAAACTTAAAAAATAAGGTATAATGCTATAAAGTACAATTTACGAAACCGTTCTTAACATAAGCAAAATAGCTGTGCAGTTAATTCAAAATATCTTCTTTATTTTCATGTTATTGTCTCAGAATATGCAAATTTTTCTGTAAAGTTAATTTTAACTTTTTCCCTCTGTTTTATATATAGATATATATATATTTCTGGCTTTTTGCTGTTATAGAATTCGTAGGGATAATTTTTCTTCATGATTTTAGGGTTACAATTGAAAACATCATGGGAGAAAAGAAAGCAAAGTGATAACATTGCAGTTCTAAAACATCGTGGTACAAAATATCGTTATCAGATATAAAGCAGTTCAGTAACATCGCAGTTTAAAAACGTCGTTGAAAATATTGTAAAATAAAGCACCTACAAATGACTGCATACATGCGTTTTTCAGGTTTTAAAAGTTGTTAATGCATATTTGCATAAAGATTTAGAAGCTCAAAAAACGTTAACAACACTTTTAAGAATAAACGGAAACAAAACAAGATATAATTTTCACCAAAACAATATCTGATAATTAGCAATTTTTATAAAGGTAACCTCATGGAATTATTTATCTTCCTTTTTTTAAACATTAGGCTGTATTTTTCATGAAAAATTATGAGTAAAACTTCATAAAAAAGTTATTATGACCTATGTAAATTAAAATTCTGTTAAGTGCTGTAAGTTGCATTAATTTTCTCATTTTCAATTTTTAAATGCTTAAGTTTCCTCCTTACTTTTTCAGTAAAAATTTATTAGTTCATTCAAAAATAGGAAATATAAAAGTAAAAATGTCCTTCTTGCGCTCTGAAATCATTATGCGAAAATGCATTTACCACTTTTAAAACCTGAAACACATGCATGCGATGATTTGTAGGTACTTGATATTTGATTATTTATAGGTCCCATGATATTTTCGATGATGATGTTTTTAAACTGGAAAGTTTTTTAACAGCTTTGTGTTCGATGACTATGTTTTAGAACAGCGATGTTTCTTCTTGGCTTTCTTTTCTTCCACGATATTTTCGCATTGCGATGTTTTCGGCGGACACCAGATTTCAACTTGGAAAGTTTAGAAGGATTTGAAGGCAAGATTTATAGACCCACAATTCTAGAAGATTCCTGAAAAAATACCTCCATGGTATTAACACATTAAAGGCGGGGGATCTTGACAAAAGTATGCTAGGTAACGCGGCGACCGCTTCGCCTTGTTTTTCGTCCTAGAGCGGGCGATATTTTGTGTAATCATAGAGTTTATTTAAACTCTTAAAAACTACAAGAAATATTAAAAAAGAACTAAACACTGATTACAAAATATTATTTTACATATTTATGAGAAGAATCTAGTATTTTTTATTATTGTATGATAATGTTGATAACACTCGCCACGGTGAGTGCATTGCAAAACTCGCATTTGAAGCAAGTCAACTTTGTTTTTTTTATTTGCCGCACAAACTACGCAGTTTCGTTGGGCATATAGTTTTTTGCCTTTATTTTCTATCTGAATTAATTTGTGCTTTTTCATGTCTAGCAAAAGACGTTCAGGCGGATCAATTTTATATTGTGGAGTCCGTAGTGCCGAGTTCGATGTACCAGGTTGTGCCTCTTCAATGTCCATCAAAGCGTCTGCATATATAGCTTTATTTTCACGTGAAATCATATTGAAGGATTTCAAAATTTACTGTAAGTAGAATTTGAACAACCCGAACAGCTTCAAATCACAAAACATACTAAATTCAAATGTAAAGTGGTGCAATCCATGTGCTAGCTACAGTCGAGATAAATCGTATTACTACAACTCCCGCCTTTAATGTGTTAACACATAATGGATGTATTTTACAGAAAGTTGTTTGTGATGAATTTCTTGCTTTTTGGAGAACATCTGGAAGAACAGTGAAAACATATAATATTTAAATGTTTTACTTCTGATACTAGAATTGTTTCTTAACATGTATATCTTCTCATTATTTTCCCTTTTCTTTTCGTTAGACACAAGCATGGAAAATATCAAAAAAGCTTCTAATCTTATCACATCTTACACATTTATAAAAAGGATTTTTTTCTATTTGTAAAGAAATTAAAAAATGACTGCAGAATATTCATCTAATACATCGTACACAGGGCTGATGCTAGGCATTTTGCTACGAATGTTTGAATGTGTAATTATCCTAATATGGGTTAAGAATCGATGTTATAAATTACATATATATAACTGTAAAACTTTATTAGATTGTGATTTTAATAGGGCTTTTTTAACAAATATTGTTAAAAAATAAAATTTAATAGTGGCCTTGTAAATCCGTAATGATAAGGTTATCCACCTACCTGATTTAACTATTTATAACGAACTGCTTACTCTTAAGAATTATCTGTGCATATTAAAGGGAGTTGTCTTTCATTTGTTCTTACTGTGGTCACAAGATAAAACACAAAAATTTAAAACTTATTCTTTGCATCTAGTGAGACTTGATGTAATACAAAACAACTTATCAGTCTGGTGCTTTATTAG